GCTCACCCTTCCCTGTCCCCAACCTGAGTGGCCCCAGCAGCAAGGAGGGGCCTGGACAGACTCCAGTTGCATGAGCTTGCTGGGGACCCAGAGTCAGCATCTGTTTCGGGGTGTTCTGGGCTCAAGGCAAGTGGACCCCAGGTCTGGGTTCAGACCGGCCTCTGTTCTGGCTGTCGTCCCCCGCCAGGTGCAGCCCGTCCTCTCCCCCAGCCTCCGTGCTCCTTGTCAGGCTGTCCCAAGCAGCCCCCATCACCCTGCGGTTGGCATGATCCAAAGTGAGGTCTGTCTTGCTCTCCGCTGCGTCTCTAGGGCCTGCCTGGCACACAATAGGCACTTAATAAATTTTTTTTAATAAACCAATTGACTAATCAGTGCCACCTCTGATGCTGTGTGAAGTGGAGCAGGTAATTTAAGTTGCCTTGAGCCTCCGTGTTTCATATGTAAAGTGGGGGTGATGGCCGAGATGCCGCTTGGGGTTGTGGGAATTGCACAGGACAAGCCTGCAGAGACCTTAGCCCAGGGCCAGCACAGAGCAAGGGCTGAAAAGTGTTTGTCATCATCATCATTGCTGTCATCAGCACCATTATTTTCAGCTCAGGAAGAGATGCCAGCATTAAACAAGGTTTTAAATGGCATTTCAGGGAGACTAGGAGGGGGACTTTGGTGCAGACCGAAACCAGGAGAGTGACATTTGAGGCGAGACCACAATGACGAGAGGGAGAGAGCCGTGCAGGGCAGGTGTCCCGGGCAGCGGGCACGGCACGTGCAAAGGCCCTGGGGCAGGACAGAACGTGGTGTGAGGGGGGGACCACGAGGAGGCCCGTGTGGCTGCAGCAGAGAGAGGAGGGGGACAGGGAGGGGAGGGCAGGGAGGGGGCAGGGCAGGTCGTGCAGGGCCCTGTGGGCACGGGGGAGACATGAAATTTTATTCTGGGGGCGTGAGACTCTCTCCAGTTCTGTTCCTACAAGGAGTTTGTGTTTGGGGCGCTGACAAGAAGCAGACGTTTCTTCCCTGCGGCAGAGCCAGTGAGGCCCCAGCTCCTCCAAAGCAGGCTGGTAGGGCTCTGTCCCCCTCTCCTGGGTGAGGGGACAGTTACCCCTTGACCACAGGGAGAGGAACAGGCCCAGATAGGGATGCAGGGGTGGCCACAGCCCAGGACAGGTTTAAGATAGGAAATTGCCAGTGGCGTGCGTTAGGGCTGAGTCGGGGAACCGTCTGCTGTCTGGCTCCTCGTCCCCTCCTGGGACGCAGCCCCTCCATGCGATGTCCAGGGGCAACAGCTCGGGAGAGAATGACCTAGAAAAACAGCGTTGGGAGGGAGTTTGCTGCAGGGAAGGATTACATTCCCAGCGATGCCCAGGTCGGGATTGAGGACAATCCCAGCAGGAGGCCCCGTCCGGCCCTCCCGCCCCATCCCCCAGCGTCCCTCCCCTGTTCCCACGGTGGCAGCGGGAAGCTGGCGCTGCTGACCTGCAGACCAGGGTGCCCTCAGCTTCCCCGTGGCGCGTCCACGTTCTCAGCCACAGCAGCCGCCTCCCACCATCACAGAGCTGTTCCACGGGCTGTGGGAATTCCCAGGTGTTTGGGGGCAGCCATGCATGGCTTTACATGATTTGGGTTCACCCAAATCTAGAATTTTCTTTGATGTCTCATTTTACTTTGCAATTTCCGTAATTGTTTGGCAACCTCGATTTTTCCCCCCGTATAATTACATCTCAGCTGGCTTTGGGTGGGTACATGTCTCCCAGCGTTTCACAATTTATTTGACTGATCCCTAATTGATGGACACTCAGGTTAGCTCCTTGTTCGCCCACACAACTGGGTCTCAGCTGACTGTCTCTGTTGCCACATACAAATCTCCCTGCATTCTACAACAGGTATGGGTCACGGTTTATTCGATCCCCTACTGATGGCTACCTTGGTTAGTTCCATCGTTCCCCCACGTGATTACATTTCAGCCGTCTTTCCCTGCGTCAGTCCCTACCAATCTCCACGCATCTCACAATAGGCGTGGACCACACTTGATTTGCCTGATCCCCCATTGATGGACACTTAGGTTAGTTCCCGTTTTTCTGTTTCAAACCACACTGCAGAAAACCTGCTAGTTCAGGCCACTCTGTTTTTTTTTTTCAAAAACGTGAGTTTTTCTCAAGGCTGCACATGATTTTTTCTCAAGGCTGCATTTTGAACTTCTGAGCCCAGAAGTTGAAAATCAAGGTGTCAGCAGGGCCAGGCTTCCTCTGGAGGCTCTAGGAGAAGATCTTTCTTGGCCTCTTCCAACTTCTAGTGTCCACTGGCAGTCCTTGGTGTCCCTTGGTTTGTAGATGAGTCACTCCAGCCTCTGCCTTTGTTCTTACATGGCCTCCTCCCTGTGTCTCTGTGCCCAAATTTCACTCTTATAAGGACACCAGCCATTGGACAGGGCCCACCGTAATCCAGTGTGACCTCATCTTAACTAATTCCATCTGCAAAGTACAAACGCTGTCCCCAGGGACACACCGTTCACGTCTAGCATCAAGCAGCAGTCACTGGTGTGTCTGCGTGTGTGCATTCTCTCCGTAAATTCTCAAAGGGCCCAGGAAAGCAGGCGCTGCCCTATGGATATTCAGCAGATGAACTTCCAGGGCCAGGGTGCAGTCCAGCCAGGCCTGCGGGAACAGCATGGGCCAGGGGAGTCGCGGGGATGCCCTGGGGGGGCTTCAGCCGCTAAGATGCCAAAAATAGCCGCCCGACAGATGGGAGAGCAGCCGAGCAGAAGACGCTGGGCCGAGCGTCCAGCTGCCATCTGGCTGCCGCTTCCCCACCCAACCCCACCTCGACCCCCAGGGTCTGGGCTGCTGCCAGACACAGTCAGCCAGGAATAGCAGGGCCAGCAGGCTGCCAAGAGATGGGGGCAGCTGGGGAGGCCCCAGCCACAAGGACCCAGAGCGTGTTGGCTCCACTGTCACTCCTGGCCACGATGGCTCCATACCACCTGCCCCCACCCCCAGGATCCCTCCCAGCTCACCTGTCACCCGTCACCCCCCTCCACGTTCAGCTTCGCCAGCCGCCGACTCTGCCTCAAGACTTTTGCACTGGCTATTCCCCCAGCCTGGAATTCCCTTCCCTCTGACACCCACGGGGCACGTTCCTCTCATCTGTTGGGTTTGTAAGAGTTTCCTGGGGCTGCTGTAACAAAGCACCACAAACAGTGCAGCTTACAACAGAGACGTACCCTCTCACAGTCCTGGAGGCCAGAAGTCCAAAATCCAGGTGTGGCAGGACTGCACCCCCGTTGGAGGCTCCGGGGGGGGGGGTCCTTCCTGCCTTTTCCAGCTTCTGGGAGCTCCAGGCATCCCTTGGTTTATGGCCACATCCCTCCAGTCTCTGCCTCCGTCTTCATGTGGCTTTATTCCTTCTGTGTGTACCTATGTGTGTGTCCAAATTTCTCCTTTTATAAAGACACCAGTCATTGGGTTAAGCCCACCCTAATCCACTATGACCTCATTGTGACTTGATTATATCTGCAAAAACCCTGTTTCCAAATAAGGTCCCATTCCCAGGAACTGGAGGGTAGGGTTTGAACATATATTTTACATGTACGCAGTTCAACCCCCCACAGAGTCTCATCTCAAATGCCACCTTTCCCAGCCTGACATCGCCCGACAGTGTCCTGTGACCTTGCTGCCCATCTTTATCGACCGCATTGATGTCTATTGAGCAAGTACTGTGTCCCAGGCACGGCTCTAAGCTCTGGGGTGACAGCCGTGTTGGAGACAAAGGCCTTGGAGAGTTGATCCAGTTTGAGCAGACAGTAAACAGGGCTTTAGACGCTAACATTTCAGGTGGTGGTTGGAGCCCCACAGACAGATGGAGGATGAGATGAGGGGGGACTTCTAGCTGGTAAGACCTCCGGGGGGCATGTGGGCCACCTGTGTCCCCACCCTACTGACATGAGACCCAGGAGGGCAGGATCTGCGTCTGGCTTGTTCACCGGTATATTTGAGCCAGGCATACAATAAACACTTAATAAGTACTCTTTTTTTTTTTTTTTTTTAAAGATGACCGGTAAGGGGATCTCAACCCTTGGCTTGGTGTTGTCAGCACCACGCTCAGCCAGTTAGCCAACCGGCCATCCCTATATAGGATCCGAACCCGGGGCCTTGGTGTTATCAGCACCGCACTCTCCCGAGTGAGCCACGGGCAGGCCTAATAAGTACTCTTTTAAACAAAAAAAATCTTACATTGTATTTATATGATTTCTTTCCCGTTCAATAAATTCTTTCTTTATAATGTTCTTATTGAGATAAAAGTCACATTATAAGAAAAAAGGAATAGAATAAAAAATATCAGAGCACAAAAATAAAATAAAATTCACCCTTTTAAAAAGTACAGTTCAGTAGCTTTTAGAATATTTACACGGTTGTGTAACCATCACCAGTAATTCCAAAACATTTTCATCACCCCAAAAGCCCAATTCCCGCTAGTAGTCACCTCGTTTCTTTCTCCCCCAGCCCCCGGCAACCACGAATCCACCTTCCATCTCTGGATCAGCCTGTTCTGGACATTTCCTGTCAATGGAGTCACACACTGTGTGGCCTTTTGTGTCTGGCATCTGTCACTGAGTGTGACGTGTTCAAGGTCCATCCACATGGTAGCGTGTGTCAGAGCCTCGTTCCTGTTCATGGCTGAGTGATGTTCCCGTGTGTGGAGGGTCCACGCTGTGTCTGTCCGTCCATCCACGGATGGACCCTTGAGCTGCTTTCACTTTTTGGCTGTTCCACATATGCGGCTGTGAATGTCCTTGTGCAGGTCTTTCTGTGGACGTGTGTGTGCAGTTCTCTTGGGTAAAGACACTGGAAGTGGAATCCCGGGTCACACGGTGGATAAACGCTTGTGAACACGCTCGGGGGGCCGTGTTGGGGGGCACGTGGGGCCGGGTGCCGACACTGCCCCCTGCCCCCAGGTGCGCAGGAGGATGTTGGCGCGGCCCTAGGCCCAGGCCCCCCAGGCCCCACACCATGAGCCGCTGGCTGTGCGTCCTGGGCCTGCACCTGCACCTGCTGCTGCTGCTGCCTGCGGCCGGGGCCTGCCCGGCCCGCTGCGAGTGCAGCGCCCCGACGCGCGCGGTGGCCTGCTGGAGCTCAGCCGCAACCGCCTCCGCTGTCTCAACCCGGGCGACCTGGCCGCCCTGCCGTGGCTGGAGGAGCTGGACCTGAGCGACAACGTGATCGCGCACCTGGAGCCCGGCGCCTTCGCCGCCCTGTCCCGCTTGCGCGTGCTGCGCCTCCGCGGCAACCAGCTCAAGCTCATCCCGCCGGGGGTCTTCGGGCGCCTGGACAACCTCACGCTGCTGGACCTGAGCGAGAACAGGCTGGTCGTCCTCCTGGACGACACCTTCCAAGACCTGCGCAGCCTGCGCCGGCTCGAGGTGGGCGACAACGACCTGGTGTTCATCGCGCGCCGGGCCTTCGCGGGGCTGCTGGCCCTGGAGGAGCTGACCCTGGAGCGCTGCAACCTCACGGCGCTGTCCGGGGAGTCTCTCGGCCACCTGCGGGGCCTGGGCGCCCTGCGGCTGCGACACCTGCCCGTCGCTGCCCTGGAGGACCAGAACTTCGAGAAGCTCCCGGGGCTGCTGCACCTGGAGATCGACCACTGGCCGCTGCTGGAGGAGGTGGCCGCGGGCAGCCTGCAGGGCCTCAACCTGACGTCGCTGTCCGTCACCCACACCAACATCACCGCCGTGCCGGCTGCCGCGCTGCGACACCAGGCGCACCTGGCCTGCCTCGACCTGTCGCACAACCCCATCAGCGCGGTGCCGCGCGGGTCCTTCCGGGGCCTGGTCCGCCTGCGCGAGCTGCACCTGGCCGGGGCCCTGCTGGCCGTGGTGGAGCCGCAGGCCTTCGCGGGGCTGCGCCAGCTCCGGCTGCTCAACCTGTCCAGCAACCTGCTGTCCACGCTGGAGGAGAACGCCTTCCAGTCGGTGCACACGCTGGAGACGCTGCGCCTGGACGGGAACCCGCTGGCCTGCGACTGTCGCCTGCTCTGGGTCGCGCAGCGCCGCAAGACGCTCAACTTCGACGGGCGGCTGCCGGCCTGCCCCAGCCC